AATATGAATGAACCGTCTCATTTAATCTTAAAGTTCTCGGCGGCCATGGCACTGAACGGGCAAGCGTTATTATAGTTCAAAAGGGCAAACAGTCAAAGTTATTATGCGAGTTAACTCGTGTCGAAATGCAAATCTGCAGTCACATTTGTCATCCGTCACCGTCACATCGAGTGGGAAGCTGAAATAATGAGTGGATTAAGCGTGGATAGATCTGTCTTGTCGGAGGATTTTGCATCAGTCGGTCAGGCACAAGGAAGGGAGACGACGGCTAATGTTAATAAAATTAGGAAAGACAAAAAGTTGTATTTTTTGTAACTGGTTTATTGACTTGTTAATAGGAATTTAGTGTGGAATACGTGACAATCGGGGCCAGTCGGGTCTGTGTCTTCTTCCCGCCAGCTTTCAAATAATAGACGATCCGGGTCCGGTCCGGGTTGTACATTTATCAGAGGCGGACAGAGTACAGAGCTTTGTTACTTGAGTAAAAGTACAGATACCCCTTGCTAAATTTTACTCAAGTACAAGTAAAAGTACTACAGTCAGATGTCTACTTAAGTAAAAGTACTAAAGTACTTGTTTTTAAAAGTACTTGAGTATCAAGAGTACAAGAGTAGATTTTCTAATGTAAGGGTGACGCTGCCTATAAAGCACCTAAAAGCTGTCACAAAGAACCGGCAAAAGGAATGATTATGAATATGTAAAATATAGCAAGGAGATATTTTAATTGTTTAATAAACACTTGTTAATAAACAAGTGTTTTCTTTGTCAGTGTCGGCTAGGATAAAGTTGACGATGCTGACTCGCGATCTTCAGTAGTGAACACGCCAGAGAGAACTGCATATTTCATACGGATTACATAAGCAGAGAGCAGTCTGTAGTCGGTTTTCTTTCATTTTGAATTGTTCTGTTTAAAAGTAGACATGTGAGGCAAGTAGGCTACCTTATACGCTGAGTTTCGGTTCATTTATGAGACGAGATCCAGTTCACGTGCCGGCGCCTCTGTTTCTTATCTATCGTCTGCTATTTACTTCTTATTTATTAAACCCAGGCAATTGGTTGATGAAACATTGATTAAAATTAAGATACAATTAATGCAAAACGAAATTCAGGTTAAAGAAAGGTTTTGTGTTTTCTGTTTGATGTCTCTGTGAAAGTTTTAAAACATTTTTTTATGCCGCTTTCAGAGCGCTCACGTCCGTAATGGAGAACACGTCCATAGCATTGTTTTTTCCTCATAAATGCAAACCGAAAAATAAAATAAAACAAAATTAATATTTTATGTACTGTGGAGACTGAGCATCAACCCTTCTTCATTCGCTGGGTAGTAGCCTACTTTGGTTTGCGCAGTGTAATTCACATAATCAGTAAAAATATATTTTGCCTCCTAAAGTTTTTTTTTTTTTTTTTAAGAAATCAGAAATCCCTCGTGGCCACGCCACTGCCACATTTGAACCTGACTGTGTTAAACACACCGCATACTCAAGAACATCACAGGAAATGCTTGGCTTACATTAATGTGTAATATAAAATCTGACCATGGAGTTGACTTTGGCGGAAAGCTGAAAGTGATTGCTGATAGGCTGTCCCAATCAGTGGCGCCTGCACAATCCAATTACGTTTGAGAGGGAAACAACAAATTGAGGGTTTCCGAGATTTTTCTTTTTTTTCTTTTTTACTCGTGTACTCACGGTTATGGGTAGAAATGTAGTGGAGTAAAGAGTACAATATTTGCCTCTCAAATGTACTTGAGTAAAGTCATGAGTACTCCCCAAAAATGATACTCGAGTAAAGTACAGATCCCTCAAAAATGTACTTAAGTACTGTACTCAAGTAAATGTACTCCGTTACTGTCCGGCTCTGACATTTATGGCAATTCTCGGATCTGCACGGGTCCGGGTCCAGCTTTTGAAATAATAGACGGGTCCGGGTCGGTTCCATGAATTTTTGGACCCGTGTAGACCTGTAATGCAGAGGCGAAGGTCCACTTCAAAAGAGGGAACCCAGCCAAAAGAAGTGAAAACTCTAACTTTTTTCACAGTTGACAGCTGTGGGATTCTTACAGCTGTGTTTGATTTATTCTATGTTTTACATTTTATTTGGATGATTTTATATAGTCTAGTTGATATGATGTTTAAAGTTAGGGTAGGCAATTTTGAAAAGGCAAGCAATAGCAAGCTAGCTTTGAAAGCATTCCTCCTTCCCTTCAGCACGCTCTCCAAAGCCACGCCTCCTTCAAAGCACATGACCGCACACAGTCTGCAACGCGTCTCAAAGCTCACAACATTACAATAATAATGAACATAAACAACTTAAAGAGCTCTGACATGTACCGACCGATTGCTGCAGATTCATTTCGTTCATTGTAATAGTGTTGCCATAGAATGGCATGAATCTGAGGACGTGAACCGTTCGAGTAGAACGCCATGGGTTCATCTCTTAATTACGGTAATTAGGACATGGCATGAACGCAGCATCAGCTCGTTGTTGTTTTGCTTTAGGAGGAACTGTAAAAGGCTGCTGCTGTTTATCGCGCTGTGAAACGCGCTGATGACCCAGACAGCAACACAGTGTCGGCCCAGATCTGGGCCGTGTGGAATCTGGTTTATCAGATGTGGGCCGGATCTGGGCCGACACTGTGTTGCTGTCTGTGATGTGGTGTGATTTCTGTGAGCATGTTCGTGTAGGTGTGGAAATGCAAAGGTTGACGGACAGGTAGGACATCGTATCATCGAATTCGGACCGACACACGGACATAGCCATCCATAAAAGTCTTGTCTTTAAAAAAAAAATATATATATATATATATATATATATATATATATATATATATATATATTCACACATTAAATTGAATTCCTCTGATATTTTCTGATCTCAGGTTAAAGGGATACTCCACTTTTTTTGGAAATAGGCTCATTTTACAACTCTCCCAGAGTTAAACTGTCGAGTTTTACCGTTTTTGAATCCATTCAGCCGATCTCCGGTTCTGGCGGTACCACTTTTAGCATAGCTTAGCATACATCATTGAAGTGCACTTTTAGCATTTCTCAAAAAAAATTACCAAAGAGTTTCGATATTTTTCCTATTTAAAACTTGACTCTTCTGTAGTTACATCGTGCACTAAGACCGACGGAAAATGTAAAGTTGCGATTTTCTAGGCTGATATGGCTAGGAACTATACTCTCATTCCTGCGTAATAATCAAGAAACTTCACTGCCGTACCATGAGTGCAGCAGGCGTAATGATTAGGGCTGACAGTTAAACGCGTTATTAACGGCATTAACGCAAACCCATTTTAACAGCGTTAATTTTTTTATCGCACGATTAACGGCCTTTTTGGCCTAGCAAACTTTGTAGGTTTTTTTCACATGCTTTTGCAACTGGACGGCATGCGGGCGTTTTGAAAATGCAAGCGGATCTACAAAACAACAGGCACGCTGCACACACTTGTTTGGGTTTGCGAGCCGGATGCGCGAGCGCGAATCTCTCTGCTCGCGCGCGGAATATAATGTGCCGAGCACGAATCTCTCTGCTCGAGTCGCGCGCTCTCAGATACACGCTGCTCTTGTAAGAATTTTCTCTGGGCTCACTCAGAGAATATGCCTGCACTTAAAACGTGTTCAGTGCAATCGCGAATCTCTCCTCTTCCCCAGCTAACAATTTTAGGTTATAAGAACGTTTTCATAACGTTCCCATTAAGTTATAAAAACGTTATTTCTGAATGTTATAGGAACGTTCAAAACGTCCAGTTTTGAGTGGATGACGAGCGCGAGACGCCGAAATGGACGCCAATAAGATTCTGAATGGAAAGTTTACTTTTAAAAAGTTGCCAAATGGTCCCATTGACGAGACCAAAGTGATCTGTGTGTTTTGTCGTTGTGAACTGAGCTATCATCATCGCAGCACGTCCAGTCTGAAACACCACTTGATGAAGGCCAAGCACACTCACACACACACACACACACACACACACACACAGCTGATGCGAATTCTCCGACCCCTCGTCAATATCAGGACCTCGTCAGTATTTCTTTCACCCTTTTATTGATGGACAGTGTTACATTGAGAGATTATTTGCTCCAAGTAAGAATGTTTTAGTGTAAAATTGAACACAGTATATGCCAGTGTTGTTTTCAATAAAAAACATTTGCACAAAGCAAGCCGATCCACTTTTCCATGTTGATAAGAGCATTAAAATGAGAAAAAATTATGGGACAAAAAGAAATCAAGAGACATTTAGAATAGATAAAAATGTGCGATTAAATGCGATTAATCGCGAGTTAACTATGACATTAATGCAATTAATCGCGATTAAATATTTTAATCGTTTGACAGCACTAGTAATGATATGACGCAGCGCCTGAAAATAGGCTACCTTCCTTCAACACAACGGAACTATTTTCAGGCGCTGCGTCATATCATTACGCCTGCTGCTCTCATGGTAGTAAAGTTTCTTGACTCAACAGTTTAACTCTGGGGGAGTTGTAAAATGAGCCTATTTCCAAAAAAATGTGGAGTATCCCTTTAAGACCACTATTCCTACATACTCTTTTCTCTTTACTTTACTTTTGTTACTCTCCACTTTCACTATTGTTTTGTCTACACACAAGCATCAATGTGCAATTAATCTACAATGGCAAACTCAATGAATCTGCTGTAAACTTCCTCATGTTTGCCAAACACGCCTCCATGCGGTCTCTCCTTCACAAGCTCTTTCAGCGGCCATTAGGCGAACGGGGGTTCATTTCAAGGATGTGTCAACACACTAGTAAATTATCTATTTTAATTTTTCATTGTCTAAACCATTTTGCAGCCACGGTACTTTATAAAAGTAGCCCAAACCAACGCAACCCGCGGCTCTGTCATTTTTACAGTATCCAAGTAATCACTTATCAAAAACTGTAAACGGTTGAGTCTCACTGCATATATGTCAGCTGATTTTGTGGTTTCCAGAGTGAGGATGATATGTATAATATGTGTGTGTGTGTGTGTCTTCACAGCTCCTCAGGACATGTTTGAGACATCTGAGCAGGGCGGCTGTCCCACGGCAGGCTGTAAGGGAGTGGGTCACATTAAAGGAGCCCGCTACTCTGGACACCACAGGTGTGTGTGTGTGTGTGTCCTGTCTTCAGCATCACTGCAGTCCAAAGCCTGTTCATGCATACCGTATATAAACACGTCACATGAAGTTTTGGTCTGATATATGAGGGTCATTTTCTCAGAAGGGGAAAAAAATTGGGATGACAAAACAACTGCCATTACATGATCTACTGTTTTGATGTTGCATGTTGTTCTTTGCCTTTTGGCCAACAAATAGCCATCATAATATCATGTGCCAGGTGGCTCGCTCTGTCTGAAACTGGACCTGATTGAAAACAGCATGTTGATGTCCAGGTCCATTGCATTTTCCTGAGGCAGATTCTTCTTTAATGCTTTAAAGGAATGTTCTGGTTTCTGCACAAGATGTATGGGTGCAGTCCGTGACGTGCTGTCGAAACCCGTCTCACAGTTTGTAAAAACAACAGTAATGCACTTACACTGGACTGAACGTGTTATTCGAAGACATTTCAATTTAAATAACATAATAAACGTGCTTTAAAGGGTTAGTTCACCAAAACAATTAACCCTCTGTCATAATTTACCCTCATGCAGTTCAAAACTTTCATTCATCTTAGAAATACAAATAAAGATATGAAGATTTTCTCTTATCGCTTCTGTCCCTCCTTTGAATGCCCACATAACCAATATTTTCAAGCTTTAAAAAGTTAATAAAGACATCGTAAAAGTAATCCATATGAATAAAGCGGCTTAATCCAAGTCTTGAGAAGATATAAGAGACACTTTATTTGACATTTTTTGGGGGGGGCTTTTATTCACATAAACATTGATCAACACACCTACAGGTGAAACACGACAAATTCGAATATGGTGCAAAAGTTCATTTATTTCAGTAATTCAACTTAAAAGGTGAAACTAATATATTATATAGACTCATTACACGCAAAGTGAGATATTTCAAGCCTTTATTTGTTATAATTTTGATGATTAGGACTTACAGCTTATGAAAATCCCAAAATTCAAAATTAGAATATTGTGAAAAGGTTTTCATATCTGTAAGCCATAATCATCAATTGAATGAGGCATTTATATATAAATGAAATAAATAAATGAAACAAATGATGAAATAAATGCCTCATTCATTCATAAATGCCTCATTCAATCACTCCAATGATCACTGAGCTTTCTGTTCCCGCCTGAGGAAAGGTGTTCGACGTCTGTTCTCTCGATTTATAAAGTCAGTTTGAGAATAATCTCCCAGAGTCCAGGAAAATCCATACGGATCAAAGCTCATATGGAAAATATCACTTTACCGAATTAAACACACTTCATATGTGTAATTTGTACCCTAATCCAGAAGTTCCCAAACTTTTCTGTCAGCCAAACCCCTTGAAATATTTTTTTATGTAAAATATTTCAATATTTCTAAGCTCTTTTTAGTTGTGACGGTGCCTCAGTCCACATCACATTTAAACTGCTGTTGTAGGAATCCGGTCAAATTGAATAATACTACTAAAAATAATAATAACATTACATTGTACAATTGCACTCTAAAAGAAAACATGAATATTTTATAATAATTATTTTATTTTACAAGTTACAATACTAATATTTAATTATTCAACATTCAACCCGTCTTCTGTGATTGGTGGGTCTCTCTGAGGACTATGGGTGGTGTAGTTCTTCACTGGACATTCAGCTAGTCAACACAGCTTATTAAACAAAGAGCAATAACTATCCTTACAACAGTGTGTGTAGGCTCTGTGCCACTAGCGCACCAAACCAAAGTGCAAAAATAACGATTGTTTCGCTCCAACAGAAGGATATATTAGGACCTGAGCTGCAGTCGGACCTAATATGATTGGATTCCTGAATGTAAAAACAAAATTAAATCAAAAAGATCTTTGTGATGTTGACTACACTGCAAAAATATGAATTTCGTACTCAGAATGTTTGTCTTGTTTTCCAGTACAAATATTGCAACATTCTTAAGTCAAGATACATTTACTTGAGAAGCAAAACGGTGTACAGTTTATTTATAGTTTATGCTTAAAACAAGAAAAAACATCTGCCAATGGAGTGAGAAAAATAAACTTTTCCATTTGCATTTCATTTTCCTGACCCTTATTGGCATGTATTTTGTCTAGTTTTAATCTTCAACTCACTCAATTCTGCTCAGTTTTTCCCGAAAACAAGATATCTGAGGTCATTGTGCTCCTCCAGTAAATGTATCTTTATTTGAACTGGAAAATAAGACAATAATACTGATGAAGAAAACCACGTAGACGCAAAGCAGCTAATGAACCACAATGATAGCAAGTCATGTTTGTAAATTGACCCATGCTTCCTGGTGTTTCAGTGCTGTGGGTTGCCCATATTCTGATATCAACCTTAACAAGGACTCGGTTCTGCCGGATCGCTTGAGCGGAGAGATGCCGGGGAGCGGAGTGGGTCGCCCTCGCAGAGCAGAACCCAGTGCAGAGACTTCAGCTGACGCTAATGAGTGAGTGCTCGTGTCTCAGAGGACATCTGTTTAAAGATTCACAAGGCCTCTATGATGGGAAACTGCCAAACTGACTGGGAAATATCGATGATAATGATACAAAACCATGAGCTCAATCTTGCATTAATAGTTAATGGGTTAGTTCACCTCAAAATGAACATTTCCTGATAGTTTACTCACCCCAATGCCATCCAAGATGTTCATGTCTTTCTTTCTTCAGTGGAAAAGAAATTACGTTTTTTGAGGAAAACATTTCAGGATTTTTCAATGGACTTCAATTGCAACCAACATGTTGAAGTCCAAATCAGTGCAGTTTCAAAGGTCTATGAAGAGCTTCAACCGGCTCTGCTCGATCCCAGCTGAGGAATAAGAGTCTTATCAAGCCAAACCATCGCTCATTTTCTAAAAAATAAACATTTATATCACGTTGGAAACGTCACGCGTCACGTTATTTGTAGGGGTGTGACGAGACGCTTATCTCACGAGACGAGACTAGACACGAGATTGGGTTCACGAGAACGAGACGAGATTTTTGCACAATTTTTTAGAAATCCTCAATGACAAAATTCATGACTGGAAAAATAGTATGCAGGTGCATTTTGCAATGTTTAACTAATAATCTTATAAAGTAGACCTGAAATGACATGCATTATGAGTATGAATTATCAAATGCATTGAAAGAAAACAATATACAGGCACTGTAAAAGGTTTTTATTGACTGGCTTTTCTCTGTATGATTTCACATTAGTTTTTTCAGCCTTTACTGTACATTTAAGAGCTGATTTCTGATTGAGGCTGTGTGTGACCTCCCAACTGAACTCCTTGAAGTCTTATTAAGCGCAAACAATAAGTGCAAGTGCAACCATAATCAAAGTTAGCACACAGACTCTTTATAATTGTTTTCAAATTGCTGTTTTATTCTGCACCGGCAGTTATAGGGTTAATGCGGTGAGTTCGGAAAAGGCCGGGTAGAGAGAAACGAGGCTGTTGTGTTTTGTCTCTACAGTTGTTCTTGCGTTCCGATTATAGCCTAAGTTCAGAAATAGAGCCTCCCTCGTCTGTTGTCCTTAAGACATTACAGTACTCTCTCAATATATTCGAAGTGCAAACTGAGACCATAGCCGCAAATAAACAGTCCAGAGATGGGTATTAGGAGACGGACTATTGTATGTTTGCGGCCTAATTTGTGCGCAATGCACATCAGGGAGCTTGTGTTTTACTTTCACTTTCGTGATCGCGCGTACTCTGTGTATTGAGAGTGAGGAGTCACGTGCCGATTTGGGCGGGGTCTGAGCCGGTCGGCCATGATGGTAGGAGACGCTATCGGTCGCCAGGGGCAACGCCTTCAGAACTTCACAGAGGCGCGACACTAAACATTACAGAAATAGCGAAAGAGAGACTGCGCAGCTTAGTGTTTGTTTACATTTTACCGATACGCCGCAGTTTCTTTTTGAAGATATGGAGAAGGAAGAGAAATGAAAGGGGTTCTATCGGGAGAGACTAAATAACAATGCTAGCCAGCTTAGAGAAACTGCTTGTCAATAAACTGACAGCAGCAACAGCGAGCAAAGCCTGCTTTCAAAAGCAACACATTTCAGCACAGTTCGCCTTTTATTTAACACAAACGAACGAAATTAATACTCTGTTATTCAACTAGAGTTGTTTCATTTGTTATAGATATATCTGTACCGCGAAATGTTTTAAAAAGACACTTTTTTTAATGACGTACGATTCGCATTGACAGGGGAATGTCCGATCTGTTCGCTTAACGTTGCACGGCAGGTGCAAATGCACGTATCTGATTCATATCAGATTTATTTCCACATATGAATGAGGCCTGAAACATCAAGTATGACTGAACTCTCGCAGTTTAACGTTACAGGTTTGGGGGTTTCTAAGTCTTGCACCCAGCCGCAGCCGACTTGTTCAGCTTCTAATGACTTAAAGCTTCTGAACTCTTGCATTGTGTAGGCAGTAACGTTAGTCACTGATACCATAAACAAACCAGGTAATTAACTATGTCAGCGTATGTGAAAGGTGGTAGTGCTTTGGGTCTTTCGTCCATTCTGTAGCAGGTCGTACGGGTCCATGTTGATGTCAAGTAGTTTCTCTAAATAACGCTGCTTTGTGTTGTTATTTAGTCTCCCCCGATAGAGCCCCTTTCCTTTTGCTTCCCCCTTCTTCATTTATTCCCAAGAAACTGTGCCTTATCGCAAAAATGCAAACAAATATCAAGCTGCTCTCTCTGTCGCTATTTCTCTCGGTCTCACGGTCGAAGTAACCATGACAACGGATAGCGTATCCTACCAAGATGGCGAATCCTTCCCACAATGCAACACGGAGTGATACGCGTGACGTCACCTTCTCATTCTCAATAGACCAATTTCCAGCCGACGTCACAGTTGCGTCACGGCGCTAGCTGGTGGCAGAACAAAGGGAAAACTGGAGGCGGCAAATACAAACCAGCACAGATTCGGCTACAAAATAAGGATCTTAAATTATTCTTCTTATTATTAAATGTCATCTTGTTGTGTTTTTGGGTGCAAGAATCAATGAAAAATTAATATGCTTTATCTGCAACTTTTTATTTCTAGAAAATATTCACCTCATTAAAATTGCACCGTAATGTCACTCTTTACATTGTCGTCTTCATGGTGCTGGCTAGGCAGAACTGCGGATCGTACACACAACTTGTACATGACCATTCAGCACATAGTTATAGGCATCTAAAGATTTATATGCCCTCCGTTTCTCTATCAGGTAGGTGTAGAAGTCAGGACACTCAACCGGAGGTAGCGTTAACGTTAATCCTGTCAGATCGTCCAGCGTGTAGGCTACAGTACGGGTCGGCCAATCTGGTTCTGTCCGTTAAAATTAACTTTTGCAAATAAACGCTTTACAGAGACATCGTTAGGGGGGAAGAGGTCGTCTGACTGACATGTAAAGCAACCAATGGCTGTTCGTTTTGTTCATTGTCATGCTTAAGGGAGGGTACATGTCACTACAAAAACAGAGCAGCATGCAACCATATGTCATTCATCCGAGATTGACATGAATTTATGGCACAACAGTCACATTAAAAACACATAAAAAAAATGTGTTGCTGATGTCTGTAAAAAAAATTCTCTGAATTTTTATTTGTCCAAGACTAGGGATGCACGATATATCGGCCACCATATCGGTATCGGGCGATATATGTTCATTTTTAATATTATCGTTATCGGCCTGATAAGAAAATTTGGCCGATATATTAAAGCTGATAAATAATGTATTATTCCCTTCAGCTGAGACACTTGTTGAGCACTGTTTATGTTTTTGAATTTCTTGAAATATGATTGGAGTCACTTCAAAAAAGGAAATGTGCAGCGCAAATCTGTCATATCGGCTACATAACATCATTATAATCGTGCGCTTGGGACATGGATTTAATTGTGAGACTTTTGTTTTTGTAATCAGGCTCTCAAAATTATATACAAATTTGGATTTAAATTTATCGGCCAATATATCGGTTATCGGCTTTCAAATATAAAGAATTATCGGTTAACTGCATCGGCCAAATTTTTCATATCGGTGCATCCCTTATCAAAACTAATAAACACGGATTATTTCAACAGTTCAATGGCAATTTGGATGATCCTAATACAAAACTACATCGTCCGGCTGTGATGTCAGTGTCTGTACGTTCATATTTAACCCCATGTGACGCAGATATTCCCTTTGCATTAACTGATCTTCCATTATAGGTGTGAGATGACACACAACTAATGAAATCAGATCCCTCAGACATCATTTCATGTGATTAAGCTTTTTCACTGTATTTTTCCTATATCTTGTAGATAAAAAAATCTCTCTTTTACATTCAGCTAAATGCAGCCCAAGCAAAACTCTTGAATATCTAACGATCTGAACCCTCCTAACCGACTTCACATGAGCAACTCAAAGCTTTTAAAGTTCTCATTCACCTACTTTTAGATTAGTATTGCCCGACAGCAGCATAGTGTCGGCCCACGTCCGGTACGGGTGGAATCCACATGTGGGCCGGATCTGGGCCGACACTATCCTGCTATCTGGGCTAACAAATAAAATTATGGCATTTTTGGTCCAAAAAACTTGAATAACGTTCCAAGTGGGCAAAAATCAAATGGAAAATGCGCCAAAGGTATTATGGCAACTTGATTTAAAATCTGGAAATTGAATATATTTATTTATTTAGTATGAGGCGTGCTCAGTAAAGAGTAACACTTGCTCATGCAAACACATTAGCATAGTCACACTTTTGATTTGCTTATCGCGTCATGACAGCCACACCTGAGGACGTTGTCATGTCTGGCCTTCTGCACACCTTTAGTGATGTGTTCGTTTCTCACTGTCTCCAGCAAACCCGTCACCCCTGCCCCATCTCACCCGGAGAAACCCAGCACGGCAACCGTCGCCATGGAAACGACTGTAAAGAAGCCTGTCGTCACAGAGACCAAGCGAAGGTTAGATTCAGTCACTCACTTGGTGAAAGAAAATTACACTTTTACACTTGTGTTACATGATAACAAAACACTATCATGACGATTTTACAATTTGAAATTAAATTATTTGACATAGCAGTAATGAGTCCAGGGAAATGTGTAATAAATGCTCCTAACAAATGCTTAAATGTCTGTATGCAAACAGAAGATCCTCTGACACACACACACACACGAACACACACAGCTGTGCTTGACACCGTCTAACAGGCTGATTCACTGTTTACTGAGAGTAAAATGATGCTTGTCGGTTCGCTGTTGACATAATGCCCTGTTAGTCAACAAAGCTTTATTTTCCACACAGCCTGTTGCGATGACTTGGTCCATACTATGGCTCTCTCCGTCGTCTCGGAAGATACACTTGCTTGTTTATCCTGAGATTGCGGTTCTCCTGCTCAGCTGTTCAGAAATAGCCTTGAGAATTCTCTGTTTACTGTACAGAAAGGATTTGCATAATGAGCTTTATATTACACATGAAATATATGCAAAATCATACCTCAGCTCGAAATATTTGTGCAGATTTTGCTCAGCAGAAGATCCTTGTATCTGAAACATCGCCTAGTAAGCCGTTGGCTGTGTTCAAAATGCAATGCTAGCATACTAGCTCACTGCACACAGTGTACATTTTATACTGCCTACTACACAATCTGAAACGGTAAGCATCTAAATACTGTGGTCACATGACCGTACGTTTTATGTTTACTTCAATGAGTGGTGTCCAGTTTTATATTAGAAATGTAAATGTCTGGTCTGGCATGCAGTAAGTCATTGCACAGATGTAGAAAATGACAGGGAACGGTCTCTGAGCTTTAGCTGTTCAGGCAAGGTTCTCTCGAAATAACGATTATTGAATGTTTGCTCAAAATGCTTGAATCTGATTGGTTGACGAACATTGTAAGCTGTGCAGTTATTTTCAGGAAAACGCACGAGTAAAGTAGTTCCGGCAGGTTTGGACCGCATTACAGCTCCATATCACTTCGCCAAATGATTTCAGTTATTTCAAAGGTCTTTACAGCCGACAACAGCAAAAGAACCAAAAACCACAACGACACTGACCAATCAGATGAATATAGTGAACAATAGGATAAAAACTAAATATTTCCAGGTTGTTGTTTTTTTTTGCCACAAAATTACGTTTTATTATGAATTATGCATTTACTAGTTATTATGGAAAAGCACATCTCTCTTCCTCACACTCTCTCTCCCACTCAAACGCACACACATACAATACGGACACACTCTAGTGTCAATAGTTTAGCAACTTAAAAGCTACAGTTTGCAAATACAGAAATGCAGATAAACGTAGTTTCGCTATTAGAAGACGCTGGTGCCGAACACTGTTGAGAGAGACGCAGACTGAGGTAATTCACACACGCTTAATCTCTCTCTCTCTCTGTCTCTCTCTGTCTCTCTCTCTCTCTCTCTCTCTCTCTCTCTCTCTTCTCTCTCTCTCTCTCTCTCTCTCTCTCTCTCTCTCTCTCTCTCTCTCTCTCTCTGTCTCTCTCTCTCTCTCTCTGCATTAGTCTGCTATCAGTGGCTTAAGCCTCCATTACTAGCTCTAAAATGATGTTTTGGAATTAGAAATGGAGGTTTGGGATGAGATGCGTAAGAAATAAGTCCCACACACAATGGCATTTTAAGGACAAAAACCTGACAAATGTCTTGAAATACATCATCTGAACAATGTTTTTGAGGTGCGATCACCGTAGCATAAGCGGAAAACACAAAAAAGACAAAAGAATGTTTTTAGAATATGTTCAGAGAACATTCAGAAATAACGTTTTCATAACTTAGAGAGGCGTACTTAGAACACAAGTTTGCTGGGATGCTGTTCTGGTCTCATATATCCCACACTACCTCTCTGATGATGTCATGATGATGATGTCGTGATGATGTTCTCCCTCAGGGTCGGTCGTCCCTGTAAAGTGCGTAAGGTGGAGGAGCCGCCGCAGGAAGAGGAAGTGGAGAGTGAGGTGTCATCAGTCACTGAAACCAAAGGTAGATCTCCACCGCCATCAATACACCTTCATACTATATTCACATGCAAACACTGTTTCTTTATAGGTTAAATCAGGTGGAAGGGGCCACACAACGCAACAGAATCAGTGTCTGAAGCGTGTGAAACTCAATGTTGAGGATGTGATTGGTATTTGCAGAAGAGCTGAAATCATTTCTTTCTGTGATGACTCACTCCATCTCTCTTCTGCCTCCCTGTCTCTGGCTGGGATTGTGTCTCCTTCCAGAAGAGCTGGTCTCCCCCTCTTCCTCTCTAAAGGTTTAGTGGCAGTCACTAATGAGGAAGAGGCTTGGATCCTTTGTTCCTCGGCTTAAAAGCTTTGTAGCTCCGTCCGGTCAGAGGCAGTCGGAGAGTGAAAGATGTGAGGGTGGACTTGAAGCATCGTGGGCGTTGCGAGGGATTATCATCTAGGGCTCGAGACACATTTAATTGTAATGTAAGAAAAAATGACGAAGACGTTAATGAGGAAGTTTATTGCAGATTAGCAGTGTCAAAGTACTTGAAGCACCTCGGGTCACAACATCCTAAACTCAAACCCCCAATCCTGCAGATACAATGAGTTTATTTTTATCTTCTCCCTGATAAATCAAGCTCTTTTAGTCGGTGCGCTAATTCTACTGAAAGCAGATGACAGTGGAATGACATTTTAGGCCAGGACACTGTAAAACTATTTTTTACAGTAATCTAGCAAAAAAAATGTATCATTAGCAGGTGCTTTTATTTTAAGTCACTTGCAAATGAGGAATAAAACATGCGTTTCATCCTGAGGAGGCAGAGACATGAGTATTGCTGAGAGATAGTTCATTGACAGCAGTGTTGGGAAAGTTCATTTTCTACATGAACTAGTTCATAGTTCCTTTTTTCCATATGTTGCTGCAAGGTGTTTTTGTTTTGTTTTGTTTTTTTAATTATTGCCACAGCCCATATACAACCACAGACGGCAATTATTTTATCGACGGGCAAATTTTGCACAGAAATGTCAGATTTTTTCCATCCTCACCGACCTTGTCATAAAACTCGTTTAAATGATCATACGACGCCTCCTCGCTCGCTGCTTTGTCGAGCTCATGCTGCTTCTTGTCTTGATGACGCATGCGGCCTCGGTGTGACACTGGTGGCTGGTGTTGCCAGATTGGGTGTTTATTCGCTTCATATTAAGGCCTGTTTACGGTGTGTTTTAGCCGGGTTTTCGCCTGGAAGGCTCTATAGAAATCTGGCACCCTATTGAACGAAGTTAAACTGAGAGAGCGTGCGTTCACAGACACCAGAATGAACGCGTTCACAGTAGTGATGGGGACGAGACCGCCTATGCCGAGTCCGAGTCAAGACCGAGTCTTTGAAGGGTCGAGTCCGAGTCGAGACCGAGTCTTTGAAGGAACAAGTCCAAGACGAGTCCGAGAAAGCAGAAATCGGTCTCGAGACCGGACTCGAGTACTACATCACTAGTTCACAGTAACGTTCATCAGGCAGTAATTCAGTACGTTCAGTTCACGTTCGCCCAAAATATGAACGAGTTCATGAACTATCGTTCATTGAACGCGTTCAGGCACAACACTGATTGACAGGAATAAACATATGGCATCTTTAGATGTATCTTGAACTTGATGTGAGCAGACAAGCTACAAGCAAAGTGAGATGAAGAGAGGAGCATCGTGCGCCCCGATACACTTCAAGTGAAATCGAAGAACAAACAAAATCGGACCAAAATCAAGTTCTTTTGGAGTTTGTTTTGGGAGTTCGATAAGGCAACTTTCTGGAAAATTTCACTCCGGCTGGTAAACGCCTTTGAACTCCCATTGGTTCGTGGTGATGATGATGTAATAGGTGGGCGTGGCTCTGAGGCTCCGCCCTCTCTGAGGTGTAAATCTCCTCCGGTTCATTTCTTCTGTTCAGACGCGAGTAACATGAACACACTGGAGAACCGCTGTATAGTAGAAACTGAAGCTGGAATTGTAACTGAAAGCGACACTGACACTGTTTTTCATGTTTAATACAGTAAAACTGCTGCTTTACAGCAATCTACAGTATAAAGTGCTGTATAAATAAACATGACGTGACTGGAGTCACAGCTGGTGCAAACAATGATCCGATGCTTTCTGAACTGCTGGTTTCTCACCGCTGGCAATTTTATTGTGTGTTTATTTTGTTATTGAGAGGAAAGCGCTCAGCACATATTTACATATTCATCTAAATTAGCTCTCAGCAGCGTGAACGCCATCGGGATGTTTGCTGACAGTATGTCACTGAAAAGGAAAACCTATTTTTCCCCCTAAGCGAAGAATGAAAAAGAGCTTCGCCGTGAGTCTGTCGGGCCTTTAGGCTCATCCTGGATCATGTGCAGAGGTTCAGTTGAGGAGCAGTGATCCAGCCTAGAGATGACGACAGCCAGGACTCTCCCTGATGGTAGATAATGCAAACCTGCGTGAGCGGCTGCCGGGTGTGTGGCAGGGCCTGGGGGTGTTCGGCCGGGGATGTGACTTTGACACTGTGAAGCCGGACTCAAAGCAGCAGAGAGCGGTTGCTGTGATGTGCAGTGATTGGAGGATCTGGTGATTTGTGGTGTCGTGAGCTGCTGACGGATCCACAGAATGAGCACATGGGTTGTAAGACAGCGGAGTTGCCCGAGCCAGCTTGAGGGTGGTGGGAAAGTGCCAGTGAGGACAGATGTGTTGAGGATGAATGCGATTGCGGACCAAAAACCTTTAGATTAAGCCCTTAATGTGTTGGAGTGAACTGGCCTGGAGACTGTGAACATGTGTGAGAATATTTATATTTGTGCACCTGGGCATAGTACGCTTAAATACGGTTAATCCAGCCAGAAATTGAGTGGAACTGTGCGAGTTTCTGAGGAAATGGGTCAATCCCACTATGCAGTGCATTTCCCCATCATGCATGCCATAATATATTGGATAAAATGTTAAATTGACGATTTTGGCAGATTTTCTTTTAGCACATAATCACAATTAAAAGAGCTTAGGGGTGAATTTAAAGGGATAGTTCACCCCAAAAAACTGTCCTCATTTACTCACCCTCATGTCCTTTCGCAACAGCAGGACACAAAAGAAGATATTTATTCTGTCAATGCTGTTTTAATTGATTGTTGAACTGCGGTAATACTGTTGTGAGACATGAGACTTTAATATAGTATATGCTAAAAAAACCAAACACTAAACTGTTTATAAAATGCAGTAATATTATCGGTTTAACTGCACTGACACTATCAAATTGAACTGAATTCAACTGAATAATTACACTGACTTTGCAACATCAACACTATTATTCAACTGAACTTAATCAACATTACTAAACTGAATTGATATGAATAATTACACAATTTTCTTCTGTAGAGCTGCATTACAGCTGAATTAAATGCGTTGTTTTTTTTATTGATGAACTTTGCAACATTAACACTGTTATTTTCCAGTTAATTGCTTTGAAACGATCTGTATTGTATAAAGCGCTATAGATATAATTGTGACTTTTGCACTGGCATCCCATAATGCATTCAGATTCTAACGCCTCAATAATTATATGAAACAAACACACTGCAGAGACTTAACCTGATATATGCACTCTCATTGCCACTTCATTTGTCTTTTTGAGTTTCGAGTGCAAGTTCATGTCATTATTAACTTCACTGGAATACGTTAGAGGATGATTTAGGAGAGTTTCATCCAGGTTTAATAGACTGTGAGAACAAACACACTATTGCCACTTAGATATCTAGATGTATTCTGCAGCATGGTTTGTATGAATTCCCTTGAGGAAGTGTTTTTATGACGCTAATAACATGGATAGGGCCATTATCAGAGACATTTATGTGTTTATATAACAGACATCAGATGGTTCCCACTGGCTATGTGCTCTGTTAATGAGCATCCATAGCCTCATAACTGCAGTGATTATCCAGTACTGACTGCACTCGTTCACCTTAGTGTCATTACTAGAGCGCTGCTCACACTGAAGTACGAGCATGTTTTGTCTTGAAAAGTTATGAAGGACTGAATATAAGGGTGCTTTCACACTTAGCCCGAAGCAGAGCTCGATTTCCCCCCTCCATCTGCGATTTACATTTTTTCGTTCTTTCTTTGTTGATGACGAACACAAACGTGCGTCATCACTACGACACACCCCTTACGGCATTGGTCCTGGCTTTTGTTCACACAGGGCGCGTTCCGGGACTGATCCCGGCAATGTTACTAGGTCCCCATCCCGGCATCAATCCCGGGACGTGTTTTCGTTCACACAGAAGGCACTCTAGCAATTTTACGGCAATTTCCCGGGATCAACACGCTGGGCCCTATCTCACACCCAGCGCAATTGACTTTGTACACCGCCGCATGTATCATTCGTATTTTGCACCCGTGCAAAGCGGGCTTTTCCCTCCACAGACGCACGTCGGTTAACTAGGGAATGAACGTGCGCTCCCTGGGCGCGTCGGCGCAAAAAAGGAGGCGTGTTCCGGCGCAAACAATCCCTGGTGCTATTTTGCAGTTCCAGAAAACAATTGCGCCACTGACCAGGAAAAACCTAGTCTAAAGTCAGTGGCGCGTTGCGCGTACATTCAGATGCTATTTTAAGCGCGCATGCTTGGCCATAACACAGAGTGTGAACAAAGCGCATACACTGTAGATGATTCTCTCATCTACACAGATGCATTTTACTTTTTGCAAATGATACATTATTATAAGGAAAAATATTAAAACACGAGGGAAATCATTGTGGTGTCCATGACGATGGGAAAAATAGGCATAAAGCTACATTTACCCAAATTATTATATGCATGTTTAACCGAAGCTAATTTGGGTGGGTTTGTCCCATCCCCAATGTCACTTCTCTTTCTTTTACGGCCCTGACGAGAACATCGATCTCCTCGGCTGTGAACCGATTCTGAAGCGCGCCTGGTAAATGCGCCGTTATAATAGTATTGCGCCATGGAACAAGCGCACCTTGTTCATCATGCTCTTAAAGGGAATGTGAG